ATTTCATTTCTTCCTCACAACATCTCCTTCACGTCACCCTCAAACGTCCAACTCGTCGTCTCCCGTTTTGCATTCAAACGAGGGCATGACCTGACGTGTGATATTCCAAAACGGTCTCTTCATACGTCCAATCCAATCCATCTCCACTTTCTTCTGCATTTTCGTGGGGCGATAGATTCTTGGTTAGTTCGTTGCCAGTCAGCCAGAGCTCCTTGTCACTTATTCTTATTATTCTGGCCATCTAATCTTCAGTATCGATAGAGCGTAGGCGGCAGCTGTTGATGAATGTCTGTAGTTTGTTGGAAATGCTTTTCGTAACGTGCCAAGTTTCTGAACCATCACATAGAAGCACTGACTTGACAGACATTGGTGTTGAAAATCTAGATCTTGTTGTTTATGCTGAGTGCAGTGCAGTGCAGTGCAGTAGATCTCTACACTGATTTCAGGTTAATGAAGACGTGTCCTGCTGAATTTCCGATTCTCCCTTTGACATCCTCATCTGTGCCTGTACCACCGGTAGTTGAAACGAAGCTGCCCTGCCTAGGTAGGTGGGAGAGAGAACTTCATTCCGATATCTCCCATTGATGGTGATTAGTTCTTGTTGTTGTTGTTATTGTTGATTGTTGGGTGTCTTCATCACCTCTGTCTTCTCAACATTCACCTGAAGGAAGTGCCGTGTTCCCTTCTCCACCTCTTCTACCAACTTGTTGGTTTTCGCCTGTACATCTTCGAGTTTGTGAGACAAGACATTAGACATAAATCATCATCGGTGATCAAATCCAAATCCCCTTCTAGCATCTTTTCATCGGTCAAACAACGGATGCCCATCTTCTCACAGCTCACTGCTCACAGTTTGTTGCATGATGCAGTTCAGTCGACCACGACCAGGAAGATCATCGGTGATAGTAGGTGGCAACCTGTTCTGTCTTACTCCTATCTTCACTTCAAAGGCATCACTGAGCTTTCCATTGTGAATCACTTGGCATGTAGCATCATGTAGCATATGGCTGCTGTTGAATGATGTTGGTAAAGGTCTGTGGCACTGAAACCGTAGTGTTGAGCCAGCTGCCTGTCAAATTACTTCTCAGTCGACGCTGTCGAAGGCCTTTTCAAAGTGGATGAAGAAGTTGAGGTAGAGAGTTGACTAGCATTCTATGCTCTGTTCTATGATGATGCACGGCGTAGGGTTGCATTTTGATCCTCACATGATTTGTTCTTCCTCAAGCCCTAGCCGGCCAGCCAGCCTGTTCCGGTCGTAATGCAGTTGAACCTAGTCTGTCCAGGATGACGCGGCATAATATTTTGGTTGGTGTAGACAGGGGTGTAAGATGATTCTGCACCAGTTCTTACAAAGACTTAAGTCGCCCACCCTTCTTCAGGAGCGTGGTAAGGTAACCCTTCCGATCTCAGGTAGCTACTGTAACAGTTTGAACTATCACCAGCAAAAGTAATGAGTCGAAATCTTAGTGGCTTTAACATTTTTGGGATGTTGTGCCTTTGAAGTTCAACTGGATAATGAGAGTTTTCTCAAATACTTTGTTAGTGGGCATATCGACAAAGGCTAAATGTCTCTGAATCAAGCATAAGTTATTGGTGTACTTCACAGCCTCCCTTTGTGTAAACGATTCATAGAAAGGGCTTAATGATAGGGAGTGAAGTGGTGGAATGTGTCAACCACTTCATTTACTTGGTGAGTTACATCAGCTCAAACGGACTGGTTGTTGACGAGACCACAGCTCATATGCAGAAGCCTCTTTTGGGGGTTCGTCAACATGCGTCGTTTGTTCCACCGACTGGGAAGATATCCGTCTACTTTTCAAAGGATTAGTTTACTGCGCTGAAGTCCTTTTGCACAGCTCTGAGAGGTGGCTGTTAAAAATAGAGGACGTGAAGCAATTATTGGGTTTAATCACAGATATCTTCGAAGGATTCCTCACGCTTTACGGGATCACCGTGTGAGCAATGTTGAGGTCAGGCGAAGGGTACTAGGCAATTCGATTGATGAAGTTGTGAGTTTTCATCAACTGGGATGTGATGGCTTGGGTATATGTTGTTCATGCGGATTCATCGCCTTCCTCGACGTGGCATACTGGAAGAAGTTAGATTAGGTTGTAAGAGTGTTGAGGGTGGTGAGGCCATGACGTGGCACCTTTCGATGAAGTCCATGAGTGTTGTTCTTAGCCATGTGGAGAGATGTAGGCTACCTGACTGTGATCGCCACTGTTTATGACTGTTGGTGTTGCGGCTAGAAATCGGTGACAATGGCGCAGTTGTATTCATTCCTTGACATCTTCTGAAACCCGAATATTCCTAATTGTCTTCTGATTGTTCATGGTTGCACATCTTTGACATCCAGTTTGATATCGGTTTTTTTTACTATCCATCTGTGTTTCTATAGTGCTGTGAAGTGTGCCAACTTGAGTTGATGCATATGTGCGTAAGGTTCTGCATTTATTATCTGTCTGTCTTGCAATAATAATGTTGACACCCTGACACCTATTGATTTCATATCTCTTTTAAGGAGAGCTGTGTTGTCCTCTTGGGAGTTCTACGAGGAAGTTTTTTCTGTTGTCGTCAATAAAAAACTGTTCATTCACAACGTTTTGTACGAATAGCAGCAGGTGGCTGTGATTGGGTGCTCAAAATCATACTTTTTCTTTGAAATGGTTTAACACTTAACGTGATATAATTAATCGTAACGTTATTATTACTTTATTCAGTAGCGTAATTTATGGTGAAAATCCAGGGCTTCCAGTTAATTGATTTGTCGACAAAATGCCTTCTGAATGAACAGATTTTTCTCAGTTTAAACAAACAGTGTTCTAACTATATTTTTCATATAATGCCCACTTTCTATAACTTTTTAATTGAAGGTTATCAAGAGTTTTAATTGTGAATTGGTTAGTAATTGTATGACTGCAAGTGACCTTGAAAGCCACCCAATTACGTATCTTTATTTTATGAAAAAGTACCATATCACAGCAGGAATACCGAAACCTGATTAATTATTTCACCAGTTGCTAGAATGGTCTTTAAAATATCTTAGCTCTGAATCCTTTTTTAAACTCATAAGTGTATTATTAAGTAATAAAACATGCATCACATGGAATACGTAGTTATCGATGCACATACCTAAACATTAGGTTTGTAAAGCAAATCGACTTTATAGTCCGTGATTTTGTGGCTAGTTGAGTGGTACACTTTGGGCTAATACACAACGGAATTGAACACTCTTGTACTTCCCGAGGTTTAGACAACTAGTGTGTGCCCTTTCAAAGGCCAACCTTAACAACCGTTGAGATAACCAATTGCGTTTCTCTCTCTTTCTTTACAGCTGAAATATTGAAGTCCAATTGGTAATTCTAACAGTTACTAGGGTGAGCTTTAAAGTCACTCCAACTAGGTCTCATTATAAAGTGATACAGGATACATATCGCTTGTGCTGGTTAAACGTTTTTTTTATAGATTTATTTATCCACGTCCATAGATTGAGTATAAATAAAAGCAAATTGTTTCAATAGTGCATTACAGTATACAAAACATTTTTTTGTGCATTTTGCACATTGTTTTGAGTATTCTCTGTACTCTAATTATCGTTTCAAAGCATAGTTTCCATAAGATGCACACATCTAACATATAGACGACCAATTTCTGGAGAATATTTCTCACGTAGTTGGCTAGTGTCGCAAAGAAATGTGTACTGTTGTTTACGTCAACCGTTTCCTATGTGTGATTAATGATTTAAAGTCCATTTTTATTACAATTTGATGTTATGTGAAGAAATTTAAAGCATTCCCGTTGTTTAAGTAGAACAGGTTATGTAAATTAGCACTATTTCACTTCTTCAACTCCTTCCGTTGCTGAACTAATGACCTTCAAATATCTAGACAAGCCTATCCACCGTTAAGCAGGTTCTTCACTCGAGAATTTTTTTTAGTGCAATCTTTTAATGAGGCCAATATTCGTTTTGATGGTGTTATGTTCTCTGAATAGGATGTTTTAATCGTGAGGCTTTCATTGTCATTCTGAAGTTTGTGCTGATGATATCACCTAGAATAACAATGAAAGCCTTACGATTTAACTATCCAGCTCAGAGAGCATCATACCATCAAAATCCTCCTCCTGAGCTACCAACATTGCTCATCATCTCAAATATTTGTGGTCACTTTAAAGTTGGTTGACTGGGCTATATTGTATTGGATCAGTTGAGTGAGTGATATAGATCAAAATGGATACAAGATCTCATAAGACCTAATGATACTTACTACCTAGTTGCTCAGACCTCGGTGGGTGGAGTCGGACTCATAACCCATTAGTTGAAAGCTAACTTCCTAAACCAATGAGCAACAACTCCATCACTTGTTGATGACGATAGGATTGAGGATTTATCAATTAAATATGCATGCAGTAAAGTAAATAATATTTCTTCCATTAAAACGTTAATCGGATGGTTTTCATTTTCGACAGTTGAACAACTTTATGGTCACAGAAAGTGATCATTTGAGTTGAGTTAAGTGAAAAATAACGAAAATATAAAACTTGATTATCTGGAACTGTTTTAGTAGCTTCTAATCCAGGTTTTTTTCCAACTCATCTCTTATTGACTGGAATTAAGTTTTGAGAAAGAGAGCTACATTGTTGAGTGTATAGTATGCTTAGCAGACTATAGGGATTAATGTTCTGTGTTGAAGTTGCAATAAAGTGTAGGTTGTTATCGAGTTTAGACTAGAAACGTCGCTAGCAATAGCCTAGGGGTCATCCCATCGAAATACGAGACGAAATCCGGTATTATAAATGAAATATGTCTGTAAAATTCCAATGAAGTAGAAAAATAAATTTCCAATTACCCAGTGCTCAACTGATTCAACTCTATCAGGTCAACTTTTGATCCTGAAGTTTACAAAATCCGGTTTTGTTTACAATCCGATTCTTATCAATCCCCTTCTTTACAATACTGGTTTATAATAGACTTGTTGATCTGTATACTTCTTTGTCTATAGAAATGAACCTTCAGAGAATTTATCCGATATAAATTCTTACAATGATGATATTGATGAAGATGCAGAGGTTGTTAAAACTGAAAGTTCTACCAAATCAACTACAATGGCTGCAAGAAATCGAGTTTCGAATACTTATTGTTCTACTTCACGAGTTGATATTATGATGTCGTCAACAGCAGGATCTACTCCTTCAATCAATGGTAATGATGTGTTAAATGACATCCAGTTAAAGTGTAAACCATCATCCACCTATGATGCTATATCAACATATCTTGAAATGGCTATTCGATCATGCATTGAAGAGCATTTATTTCATGAACAATTATCAGATTGGAAAGTGTCTAATACTGTAGAGGAGTTGAACAATACTACTGTTGCTACTCATATGAATTACACATCAAAGCCAACTGGTTGGGATACTGCGATGAAAAAAAACGATCGTTTGGTAAGTTATCAAGTAATATTTCATGCTGTAGTAGTTATTCTTCATCAGCCTACATTGTAATCAATCAGTTACGTTACTCAAATAACATTGACTATCTTGATAGTTATTACTATTTATTGACATACTTGTAATTCTCCGTTGTTTTACTGGATCGAATTGGTTTGACTTCGATTGGCATATGGGTTCCTATGCGGATGCCTCGATATTGCCTGAATACTAATTATAGTAATTTAATTCGTTTTGGCTAGCAGAGGAATCTAGGATGCGCGTTTTTGTTCTTTGTGGGACTCGTCAACTGGATGTACCTGCACCCCAGTGAGTTATGTTATTCCCACTGAGATTTGAACCACGTATTTTTATAGTTACTCAAAAATTAATCATTTGCACAATAATAGAGAAGACAGAAAGAATTGTGAGAAGGATTTTACACACTATCATTCCAGAAGTGGTAAGAAATTACATCCTTGAAAACTTAAGCATAACAAAAGTTTAACAAACTTTCATTATGAAATGATGGAGCACATTTGTAGTTCAGGTTGTTGAAGTTTGTACTGATGATATTGTCTTGGATGACAATGAAAGCTTCACAACTAAACCATCCAGCTTAGAGTACAAAATACTATCAAAAAGACTTTCATTATATTAAGCATTAGAATAAACACAAATCAGAAGGAGAAAATTGAATAGCAGAGGGTCATGAACTTTTGTAAATGCAGAGTACATACACTTGAAAAACAGAGATAATACATCTAGATATGAAGATGTATCACCTTATGGATCGTATTATTAAAATTTGATTCTTATCTAAAGATACTATTACTCTACTGAGGCTGATCTGTAGATTTCGCCAACCGGATAAAGGTGATGTAAACATCGGACGACCATTTTGCTCGTTTGGAGCCGAGTTCATCAGTGGTGTACCCGAAAAAATCCAGCTCATAAAGTTAAATTAGTTCAAATCGCTTGAATCTGGCTAGCTGACTTATACTTACTGACCAGTATGCCTAAAATAAGATGATAAATTTGTAAATGATGTACATATTGTAGGGTCCATGTTGACATTTTTCATAGTTGAGTTCATTTTCAACTATTTAACTGTAGTGTCAAGGTCTGATCTGATCATCCATTCTGTCTTAGCCATGTTTATCCATACTTTGTCATGTCATGTTTATCGGTAATTTTTTTCGCATTTTCCGTCTATATTTATCTAGTAGGGGTTCTTTGTAAAATCCCACTATACTGTTCAAATGATACTTTTGTTTCGAGGTTTGAATTCATCTTGGACTGAGATCAGTTGGGAAAACATTTGAAATCTGGGAGCATCGGACATCTCTTTCGTCCCACTAGTATGGGACTCCTCAGTAGTGCGCGCCCACAACGCCGCCAGGGGTCGAACCTGACACCTTCAGGTTCTGTAGCCAGCCACTGGGTCAGAATTCAATGGTCCACATTTCGTACTTCTATCAGTTCACGATATAGCGCCACCTACATCCAAAGTCATCGTTTAGTAACTATCCTCATGTTCGACTTTGCTGACTCTACTGGTCACGACTTCTCATTGAAACTTCGGGAATCATCTCTCGAAGCTAGTCACCAATGAGTGTTAGATTAATTCTAAATGAAGGTTTGTGGAGGTTTATGAATTGATTTTAAGGTGGAATTCATTATGGACTGACATCAGTTAGAGGAACATTGGAAACCTGGGTGCAATGGACAGCTGTTTCGTCCTAGTATAGGACTTCTGAGCAGTGCGCATCCATGACCCCACCAGAGATCGGACCCAGGACGTTCAAGTTCCATGATCAGCACCTTTCACTAAACCACTGACAATTTTGTGTGAATGTGATGTGATTTTTAATGATTTTTTTCCTAGCGTATGGTACTCATCATTTGCTTTAAAAAGTAACAATAAATGATTCTTCATTTTACAAAAGTTCATAATCTTCGTTTGTTTTCTTGTTTCGTATAGAATTTCTTTCTGACTTGTGTAGATGTGGTAGCTTTTTTTCTTTGTATAAACTCTTCACACTTGAATTTTGAACATTCAGGATTATGTGATGTGTTGTGTTGATCGTATTAAAAATATGTTTATCATCAGGTATACAAAGTCATCTGATTAAAAACTAAACGCTTATAATATGTTCTACTAAACAATATTCTTCAAAGCATAAAGAACAATATATTAGGCTTAAATTAAGCCCATATTTATTTCGTCACTTCTCATCAGCTGTAAACACCAGAGGATTAGTATATGATTTAATAATCAATATACTATTGTGTTAGAACGAGGTATCTATATGCATCGGGAGAGGGTGGGCGGGGAATATAGATGTAGCCAGCGAAAACTAATTGAAGGGATGTTAATAATGCTGCGAATGATGAGAATAGGATTTGTTTATTTTTAAGTGTATGGTTGTAAAAAAAATACTGACGATAATAAAATACCTATTACTATAATAAAACGATAATTATCATAATATATTTCTTTCACAGAAACAAATGGATTGCTATTACGCAAACCATATAGAAGGAAAAATAGAAACAAAAGGGATGATCTACGTTGACATTTATCTTAGCTAAGTACCTTTTTATTCAAATTATCCAACTGAGGGCTTTGACAAGATTTTCCTTTGAAATTAACCAATTTTCAAGGAAATTGCTTATTTGTTTAGTCACATTTATTCATTACAACAATGACGGATTCCTCAATTGGTTTAAAAATGATTACACCAAATCTTTCCAGTAATTTTTTTCTAAAACGTGAAGTGGTGCCAGATTAGTACTGGAGGGTGGTTTCGCTCGTTCGGAATTGAAGAGTTCATCAACGTTATACTCGGACAAATTGGCCTCATAAGACCGAATTGTCTATATCACGTGAATTCGGCTATCTGACTTGCATCGAACGATATAGCTTAACTAGGAAGAGCGATTACCAATTTCAACTAATTCAGTCTTTAATCAACTTTGATTATCTGAAGACGGTGGGACAAAAGGTCTTAGTTGATCATAGAGAGTTTCAAACTGAGCATTAATATCGAAATGAGAAATTTTCGTGTGTGGAAATGAAACAGTGGAATCTGAGGGAAAGTGTCTGTTTCTCATGAACTACAAGCACAACAGATGACAATCTGTTACAATATTTCACTTTAGGTTAAAATGTTCTTTTTGTCGTTTAACAGTGCAATATGGGAGTCTTCTTGCCAAAAATTTAAAACAATTAGTCCCTTTTTATGAATTAAGATAACGCAATTAGATTATTTCAATTCATTGATAATTTTTATAGTTTTTTTATGAATAAAACGGATGATAGAACAGGTTGAAAATTGTCTAGATCCCGTTCTAATGACATTCAAGCAAACTCCTTTCCATGTGATCCAGATAAATATGTGACTAACTTTTTCTCTGTTGTGCTTGTAGTTCATGAGAAACAGACACTTTCCTTAGATTCCACTGTTTCATTTCCACACACGAAAATTTCTCATTTCGATATTAATGCTCAGTTTGAAACTCTCTATGATCAACTAAGACCTTTTGTCCCACCGTCTTCAGATAATCAAAGTTGATTAAAGACTGAATTAGTTGAAATTGGTAATCGCTCTTCCTAGTTAAGCTATATCGTTCGATGCAAGTCAGATAGCCGAATTCACGTGATATAGACAATTCGGTCTTATGAGGCCAATTTGTCCGAGTATATCATTGATGAGCTCTTCATTCCAAACCAGCGAAATGCCCTCCGGTACTTAAATCACTCTAATCTGGCCAGCGGAATCTATAAACCAATCACCTTGAGTGGTTCCCAGCTGCTCTTAGTTGTTCGGTTTTTGTTTTGTTAACAAAATGAATGAATACGAGGACATAAAACGGAGAAGTTAAGGTGAGCAAACAAAGAGTTATAGAGGTCATGTTTAGAGCATTTGATTACTACTGTTTATCCAGAATATGTTAACATTGAAGTTCATTGTTGATCTATCCTTCTGAAGGCTGTAAATATATCTACGCTATATCCTGGATCGACGAAATGGCGTGTGATTGAACACTTGGGTCACAAGCTCTTTTGGATATGTTCAGAAATGCGAGCACTGATTCATCATTCCCTCCTTCACATATATTTGATTTAGCAATTACTACACAAAACAATCATGGGTTGATTTTTACTAGAGACTAGGAATGATTACAACTTTCATGATACAATAGAAAGATACGTAAACAAGAGAATCGGGAATTCTGGAATAATTTCGTTTATTGTAATAAAGTCGTTGTTATACTACTAACGGTAAATAGGTAATGACTGGAAACAAGCAGTTGATATTATAATTTTCAGGTTGAAATGATAGAGAACATCTATAGCTCAGGTGAATGATCTTGGTTGTGTTGCCTTCTGTGAGCTGAATGGTTCAATCATAAAGCTTTCATCGTCTTCCTTGACAGCATCATCATCGATGATAAAAGCTTCATGTTTAGACCACTCAGTTCAGAGAAGATAATCTATTATAGTTAGAGAGGATCAGACAAAAACAGATTTATTAATCGTTCTTCATCCATTTTGATTTTGCTACTTTGCATCTTAAAACCAATGGTCATTACTTTACAGATTGCCTGTGGTATTAAAGTCTAATTTTAACTATAGCCACAATGTAAAGGGACAGAATAATATTATTAATAAAAGAGCTTAAATATTCTAAACTTTATATCTGGTAAAATTATATATATGCCTTTATATCCCATTCGATTTCGTTTCGTTTCACGTTGCTTTCGTTATAGTATTCATATAGAAGGGTGATCTAAGTACTCTTAGTGGCATGATTTTTCGAAACGGATTATTTAGTTGGGTAGTAAACTAGTGTCTATTCGCTGCTAAAAGTCTAACGATCATTTTTGCCTCAATTCTGATTCTTAAGCAGTTTGTGAGCCAACTAGTATTTTTTGGTTAAATATCATACTACTGACAAATAAAAATGTAGTATGTTGGAAAGTTGTCAAATACACTTCCGGATTTTTATATTGACCTTACTGGATCACTCATGGAAAGATATTGACAGCTCACTTTATATTGAATTTAGTGTTGATGATATTTTCTATAAAGACAACGCAAGCTTCACGATTAAATCACCTAGCTCAGAGAATGGAATGCAATCAAAATATTCATATTGTTATCATTTTTTTCATGAATGGAACATTAGCGAAAAGTGATTCGATGTCGAAAAATATCTTACGTTTATGAGAAAAAATTCATATCCTATATACAGTCGATGATTTCAAAGCTGATAATGAGGGAGTAGATGAAATCCTTGTCTTTTCATGCTCTAGAGCCAGATGAAGGGTAGGTTGGCATTGTGTATTTTTGGCAAACCATAAACGTGTGGTATTATTGAAAATGTTTGTCTAATCCTTTCATAAATACCAGCTAGCTTACAACTTATTAATTTATCCATCTGTAGAGTACCACAGTTTTTCATCCATTCAATGAACCTACTTCTTATAAGTGTTGTCGTTTAACATGGAGACTATTTAATATAAGAGTAAAACTTGGGCACTGTGGTCGATTGTAATTCCATTTTAGTCTGTTTATTAGAAACATATGTATGGAAAATTCTACTGCTGTCGTCCTCACAGAGAAGGAGAAAACATCAGGAATATATAAAGTCTGTCTCGAAGTTGTGGAGTTACCTGATATGAATATGGACAATAAATTGTATCCGAAACATTATCCAGTAAATGCTACTGTTTCACTGTGTGATATTTCTAATAAACAGACTAAAATGGAATGGAGACTATTTATTGAATCATGCCAGACATTGCTGTTGTTCGCTGTCAAGGAAAACCATTATACGATGAAGTATTCGTCGGACTTTGTAGTTTTCCACCGTACTAGACTGACTTTACCATTTTCGTGTCCTCTATGTATATTTACTGCTTATAAGTAATTAGTTGAAGTAAATACTCGGGCATTATTGAAATGTGATAAATTCTAATTTGCTTATTTTTACAAACCTAGAATAACAACACTATGTTCCCAGTGTCTGAGGTTCGTGCAGCAATCAAGCAAATTAAGTCATCTAGTAAACAATCCGATGGATATATATCTACTCATAAGTCTATTGGTGATGTGGTTCCAATATCAGATCAAAATGACTTTTCTTCTGGTTGTGGTGCAGATAAAGGCAATCTATCTCCACACCATAGAGATGTAAACATTGCGAAGTCTGTCGACTGTACTACTAACAATGGAGCTAATAACATGAAGATGATATCTTCGACTTTGTCTTTCAATCAGTCTTCCGATAAATGGCCTGTCTATAAGGATCATGATGAAGTTAAAGTTTATATGAGAGGTAAGGAATTTTTTAGAATAGAGAATTATGAATTATTTTCATATATCTTGCCTTCTGAAACATACACTTACTCAACTCAGTCTTTCTTAAATCTTGATGTGGTGTAGATAATACGTGCGAATAGTTCATATATTTTCTCTGCATCGCTCAGAACTATGTATTGATAAGCTGTCTTGTATTAGTTATTTATTGAATAAACTCATTTCTGGGATTATTTTCACTGTAGTTGTGACAAAGAAACTTTAAATCAATTTAGGTACTTCTAATGGTGTGCAACTTAATCTCCTAAATCCTTCGAAGTAACCCGAAATTCCGTGAAAACCTTAACCAATCAGCTTGCGCCGCACATTCGTGAAAACCCACATGATCATTTGTGTGAGCTTCAGCTTAGTTAATGGGCGTCAGTCGATAGGCATTAGCCTTGAAGAAAAGTACGGAAAATATCTTGGTCATTGAATATATAGCACGTTTTGAGTTCACACAGACCGATTTATGGTTTTGTGGCTTCTTCCTGCCTTGAAGGACACGTTTACTGTTTTTACCGAAACATCGGGCGATGGCTTAGGTACTCGACTTTCAAGCCATACGTCCGTAGTTCGAACCCCGCCTTCCCACTTCAGTTTGGGCAACTGATTGGTGGCTCATATCCTAGTACATAAAAAGAACATGCATCAGGTTGAGTGGTACTATTATTTTACATAAAAGGTATGTAAAAGTTGTTTATATTATCTCTGAGAATAAATCTGTTTCAAATGTTTACCTGTACTAAGTCTTGCTGAGTAGCTAAGTTGCCAGTAGAAAATATCATAGTACACTCTGATGTCATATGTGTTCTTTGCTTGAATGCTAATTGATTGCGACTTAGAAGATGTAGGAGGTAACTTATACCGGATTCTGTATTGCCTTCCATCGAACGTCGTGTTCTTTAGCGGTTACTGTTGTGGGCAACTTCAGCGTTCACATTTGTAGTGTGCAGAATAGAATAGTACATAGAATATATCCTTCTTCTTCTGATGACTGTATTTCAGTGCGAAACACTTATACAAGTTTTACTGCTACATCTACTTCTACTACTGAACACCTAATTATTAATTGATTGTCTGTTTTGTGAACGGAAATTCGTTGGTTAAAAATATTTCACTTCCTTTCGCTTGCCTAGAACTTCGATCACCTGGTTCTGGTCTAGCTTCTAAACCTTCACTTGAATCCAACAATATGACGGAGAACCAAAATACATCTGATCAAATAGGTTATAATGGATCAACTGTTGAAAGTACATTTTTATTACTGTCAAATCGATTAACAGAGAAACGTCTGACTGCAAATCGTCCTGAAGCTCTTCATTTGATGACTCCTAAACAAGTGAGTTGGTTTTGTTTAACGTTATTAAACTTTTCATATTTTGCAACAAATTCCCTTTACGGTTAAAGTTACCACTATAGATTTGTTTGGATTTACCTTCTTCTGTGCAAGGGAATGAATATTCACTAATGATATGGCATACTTTGCATTGCATCGTCTCACTTTTATTATTGTTTATTTGTCCCTAGGGTTCCTAGTGGAGCATAGAGCTTCAGTGGCACGTCGCCATTTCACTCTCTTCTCTGCAGTCTTTCGAACCTAGCTCCACGACTGCCCAAAAGCTTTCATTTCTTCCTCATACCATCTCATCCATATCACCCCTAGCTAGGACGCCCAACTCGTCGTTTCCCATTTCGGTTCCACTCAACGACTTGACCAAACGGTTTTCTCAGTGTATGTCCAATCCAATCCATCTGCATTTTTTGCATGTTTGTTGGGCGATGGCTTTTTGGTTGGTTTGTTGCTAGCCAGAGTTCTTTGTTACTTATTTTTTCTGATCATCTCACTTTAGCTACATGATTTTCTGTTTTTAAAATACTAAATCTGTAATAAAATGGTGTTCTGAGATGGTTTCGTAAAACTACTTACTGTAAGCATTATTTCTGAGTTCATTATTATTATTGTTATTTGTCCCTTGGGTTCCTAGTGGAACATAGGGCTTCAGTAGCACGTCGCCATTCCACTCTGTTCTCTGTAATCTTTTCAACCTGGCTGCACGACTGCCCAACAGCTCACATTTCCTCCTCACACGATCTCCGTGTCGCCCTCGGACGCCGAACTCGCCGTTTTCTATCTAGGTTCCACTTGAGTGCCTGGCGCACGATGTCCTCGAATGGTCTTCTCAGTTCTAAATCCCTTAAAATATATTCGCTTTACTCAGTTTGTAGACACAGTTCATTCTTTTATATTATATGCCTGTGAAACATGACCATTATAGGTAGGAAACACAAAAAGGCTTCAGTCGTTCGACGACCGTTGCCTTCTCAGTCCAGGCTGCATGTTGTGATGCCACCTTGTCAGGTGTAGAGTTGTGAACCGTAGAGGAGATTCAGTTTATGAGATTCTGAACCTTGATGAACTCAAGTGGTTGGGCCATGTGTTACGTATGTCTCATACACTGTCCACTCTGTCGCACAATGTTGACTGAAGCAAGCTCAGGCTAGAAAAGGGTTAGGGAGTGACCAGACTAAAGCATAGCATCATTTCATGAAAATCTGCTTGCAGAAATTCTGACTTCTTGGTTAGGATTCACATGACAGCTAAAATCACCGGTTGTCGATTAGTTGATATTGGCTCAAAGTCGATTCAGTGACCTTATTCGTCATATGGAAGCTCGTTACTGTCTTATCCTTTCTTCCTACCTAGTTGCTTTCTTCTCTATCATTTATCTTGGTGCATTTTACCTTTCTGTGTTGATATGAGGTACAGGAGGTTTTACCGCTGCACAGTAGCACTAGGTCCTATTTTGTTGTTGGCTGGCTCAGACTTTTGTTTATCTATTCTTTCTCAGCATTTTAGTATCTTGTTAGCAACATTATCTTTCTGCCTAAACTTTCAACCTACACTCAATGAGCATACATAATTTTGTTGGAAAATAATACGTACAAGGAATAAGTGATATGATCGTTGATGATTTCAGTTCTCAGCTATATCTGATCACGTTTAAACCCTCTGGGTTGTAGGTCTTTGTAATCTCTACCGGTAAAGGCATGATGTGCCAATAGATTTCAATCTAAAATAACCATCACATAATGATTCAATTTAAGGGTTTGTGGGGATTTATTGATTGATTAGTATTCATCATGGAGTGATTGAAATCATTTGGAGAACTGTTGAAAATCTGAAAACACTGAACAGTTGTTTAGTCCTAGCACGGGGATCCTCAGCAGTATGCACCCATGACTTACAAGTTCCTTCGAGGGACCTTACCATCGATCCACTAAGTATTCATTGGTTGTAACCTAGTCTCCTAAAATTAACGTTACTTAGTTTTTACCTGTCTCAACGATATGTTTCGTGACCGAAGAACTTGGACATCTGCTACCAAAGTTTATAGGCTCAGGTGATTTAATTTGCTTCTGAAACCACTTTGGAATATGTTCCGAGGCCCTTGCTTGCATGGATCTGAGTCCTATCTATATATGGGTATTCTAAGTGCCATTGTAGAAGAAATGGAACTGAAACTTTTAACCGGTCATTTCAAATTCACTAGAAGCTCTACTGAGCATCAGAAACCATATCATCATTCCCAAGAGGATTGATATTGAACATAGACCTTAGCTGTGACGCAGTTATCACGAGTAAAGCCTCTATAATGTGTTTTCTAATTCTCAGTGGGATTTTGGTGTTATCATATCCCTACATGATTAAATCTCTAGTCTTAGTCTATATGTCATTTCTTATAGTCGGATTTATTTTTCACTTCTAAAATGTAGCTGTTGAGCTCTAGGTATATGAGAATACTATTGTTTCACGGCGTTAGCTCTTGTGGAGGTTTGGCTCATTGGTTAAGGGAGATGACTTTCAATCATTGGGTCACGTGTTGAAACGCAGCTCCACCTACCGAGATGTAGGCAGTCTGGAAGTATCATTAGTCCTCATACAATAGGTGTGGTTCACTGTCCGCTGCACAAATGTGCACAAGGTTACTGAGTACCTTTCTGTTCTTCCTTTTTACAGTAGTTCTGGAAAACATCAGCTGTTTGTGGTGAGACCAACAGACTGTACCATCTTTGGTGTCAGAGAGATATTCAACTACCTGTAAACAAAAGAGTATGCTGTGTAACAAATCACTCTCTCTTGTTGTACTGCCGGGATATCCCCATTGGAAGCGGAATGTATCAGAAAAATATTGTTTTTGATCATATTTATGCTTGACCTTTGCCCCCAGTGTGAGAAACGTTGTGGCTCGGTGAGAAGTGCTAGATAGCAAACGAAAGGCAAAATCAACGTAGAACTCCACACAGTTCACAGTAGTATACAAAGAATAGGTGGACAGAATAAGAGTGATATCAATGTGGACAAACTTGTGTGAGAGAGTAAACAATTTGAAAAGTTAATGCAAACATCCAAGTTTTAGAAGACGTGAGTGAATACATCTGCACCATTGTGACCGATTTCCAGTCATGTCACCAACAGCCCTCAATTAGTGATTGTTATCATCTCATGGACCCCAGCCAAGCAATCTGTATCTCCCCACGCCACTTAGACTAACAGTGAGAGACTTCATGCACTGGTGCCACGTCTTGGTATGGCCATTCTGAATCATTTTCCAACGTAATTCAACCTCTCTTAGCATGCCATGTGGAGGTAGGCAGTTGCTGGATGTGCTCAGTACGTACCCAAGCCATCTTACTCGGTGAATGTTCACAACTCCGTTGATTGACTTGCCCTTTTTCCCTAGAACCCTTCTCCTGACCTCAACATTGCTCATACAGGGATTCCACCAAACGTGAGCAATGCTGTGGAGACACCTGTGGTGAAGACCTTGTAATCACTTCATATTATTTTGCTTTTAATGGTCAGGCCTAGCAAACTAGCTTTATAACGGAACTTGAACGCAGTTTACTCGTCCTATAGTGAAGTTGTATGTTAGCTGAAGTAGCATTAGATTTATATAAAGCTTGATATGTTCAGACCAAGGTATGGGACCAATCCATGAAGTTTCTGGCTGTTTGTCTGAGCATTGTAAGTTGTTCCAGGTTATCTGCTTGGGGTCCCTGACATTTAAGGAGTCAGTGATGGAGATTCATAGTCACCTGTTTCAAAATCGATCACAGTGACTTAGTTGTTTTCAGTTTTTTTTTCTTTAATTTTGAACAGTTTATTAGTCTTCATTCATTCATCCTCACTTTTTTGCATACGCTTTTTTCTACCGCAACATACTGACTTCCCCGATATGCGTTGCTATACAGTGTAGTAATATAAATGGATACACATTTGTACAGTGATCAATATTAATTTCTATGTGTGTGTGTGTGTGCATATGTGTTATATAACCGGTATTGTTAGTTAGTTTATGTTAGATCCTCTTTATTTCTCTCAATGTGTTGAACGCATCGTTCTGACACACTTCTGTTTGCTTCTTATGTCTACTTACTTCTTTTTTAACTTCATGCTGTGAATTCTGATGAATTGAACTGATTCAGCGTTTTGCCAGGCCCCATACTGTTTATCAATCAGTTTAGTATACATATAAAAGTGCAAGAATAAAAAGTCTATCAGTACTCGTATCAATTTTTTATTGTTTTTAAAAAAATACTTTTACAAGTGTAAGGTTTATTCACTGGTAATCTATTTTTTCTTGGTTTCTATTATTCACTACTAGATTGAAGCTGAAAAATTGGCCTTACAGAAAGCTTTGTTGTATTTTGAAAATCTTCATGGTCGACCAAGAGAACGTCAAGATCGTATCACTATGAGGCCATTGTATAATCGATATCGTAGTGTTAAACGCCTGTTGAACAGTCTACAAACAAATCAAAATCCTAATTTTATTGAACATATGAATGAGGAGAATAGTGATACAGAGGGTCATTTATCTGTACCATCTAATGATGATGTTGTTCGACGGAAATCAATACAATCACCGCCTATTTTTTCTATGAACTCTGAAGTAATCCCAACTAAATGTATCCTGTCTACTGGCAACAGTACATCTTCATTCAAATCAAATATTCCTGTCTCTTATTCAAGTTTACAACATAGTCGATTAAACAATCATAGTTCATCGGTAGTATTTTATGATAACGGTAGTAATAATAAGCGTATTCCTCCTATGTCATCGTCATCTTCTGCATTACTGTCAGTATCATCCAATTTGCCACTTTATTCCTCGAATATTTCGCCTCAATTCAATCTAGGTGATTGTAATCATGAACTGAACAATGCGTATATTGATGATGATGACGATGATGATTTTGAAGTTACTCAAAAACAGTCAATTTCATCAACAATTAAATCTAGCCACCGTTCAGATGTTAATAAATTATGCAATCAAGTTGATGGATTATTATTAAGTACAGAAAAACAGAATGTTAATAATTTCTCAGCCAAAAGACAATCGGCTACTAATACTAGATTGGATTCAAATGGGGGCTTATCAAAAGTACATTCTACATCAGATTATGAAACAAAGTATACAAATAGTGGAAATAGTCGTATACAAAATAATAATAATGAATGGTGTAAGTATATTGTACTTTTTTGGGGGGGGAGGGGGGGCACTTTACATATATTTGGAGATTCTTTAACCTTTGCTTCATCAACTTGGCACGTTTAAGCATTTCGTTAAGCTTAATTGGACTGAATTAGAGAGCAATAGAACTGATGATAAACAGTCAATGAATCTGCAGTTGTACCGCTGATGGGGAAAGCTTGTTTCCTTGATGTCCTATAATTTCCAGAAAGATATTTTGGATAGTTGTAAGACAGAAAGCAATTACCGTTATAGTGTAAATTGTTGCGCTATGATGGCCTTCCAAGAATTGAGTTGTACTGCTGGTTAGATGGGTGATTAGACTAAAGTTATGTAGAAAAATTTAGACTTTCCGGTTGGGATCTGCGTGACAAGTAAGCATGGCGATTGGAAACTTTAGGCAATATGACTCAGAATCAATTGCATTGGTGCGAATGCATTCGTATCATATATTCAATTTAATCATAATATCATTCTTCGATGTTTACTCTATCTCTTTTTCTCTCTTGTCTCTCTGGGCAGTCTTGGGTTATTTTCTTCCATTTTTCTATCTCCCTCCTTTTTTCTTCTCAGTTTGTTATCCTATTACCTTCCACATTGTGTCGATGTCACAGGAGAATTCGGACTAAGCATGTACAACAAATACAACGTCTGTTGTCATTATATCATACTTATAGCGTTTATTGGTTTGATTTAATCAACAGAGATACCTACTTTCACAGTTCCTACTTAACTTCGTTATAGATGTACTAATGGATGTAACACTAGGTACGTCTGACTTCACTGGGATTATTGATCTTCTCCCTAGAGGCCATCCGGTTGACTTGGAGTATGCAGGCAATATTGAAGACGCTGACAAAATCCAGAGTCCTGTTAACGCATTGAGTAGAAGTCTGAGCATGTTTGCATAGCATGCGTTTCGCACCTGTGAAATATAAGATTATGCTCTAGGATTGGTCTACTTTAAAGTACTCCCACTTAAATGATAGGAAGTGAAGTGATGGAATGTGCCAACCACTTCACTTACTTAGGAAGTTGCGTCAGCCCGAACGGACTTATTCCTAACGAAATCTCACCTTGGTAAAGAGGACCCGTTTAGCATTTGTCAACTTGAGTCATCGGTAGCGCCGACAGGCGAAATGTGACTAACTTTCAAATGAATATACTACATTGGAGTCTGTTCTGTTGTGTTGTACGACTGTGAGACAGTGCCTTTGAAGCAGTGACAGGTATTCGATCATAGGTGTCTTTGTAGCACAGCTCATGTTTGGTGGAATCATCGTGTGGGCAGTGTTGAGGTTAGGTGAAGGACACTAGACAAAACAGGCAAGTCGATTGATGAGGTTGTGAACCCTAGTTGACTGGACTGAGGTGACTTGGACATGTACTGCGCTTACCGATCCACATCCTACTTCAACGTGCTATACCAGTGGAAGTTGGATTAGGTTGAAAGAGGGTTCAGAGTGGCCAAAGTAAGACGTGGAACTAGGGAATGAAATCTCTGACTTTGGTCTGAGGTGTGTGGGAAGGTGTACACTGTCTGATTGGTGTCCCCAATATTATAGGAATCAGTAATTGAAGACTGTTGGCGATATGGGTGCGAATCGGTCACAGCGGCGCAGATGTATTCCCTGTCTAGAGTCTTTTAAGGCTTGAACATCTACACTAACCGTTACCTTCAGATTGTTTATTCTCTCACACATCTTTATCTACTTTGATTTTAGTCTTTTATTATCTACCTGTATCTCTATACTACCATGAGTGTGATAAGTTGAAGTCATGCACTTGTGTGTGAGGTTCTACACTGGGGTAAAACAATATTGGTGTTACATTTTTGTTCGTAAATTTTTTTACATGACAAGTTTTCTGCTAAGAAATATCTAATCTTGTTTTCATTGTTCTTTAGTTGGTACAATCGGGTTAAGTCGACAAATTCAACCTGGTGGAGATCATGACTACTTTATGACTACTTCTCATTTACAATACAAATATCCCAGTGAGAATAATCAGCGTACTATCCATGAAAGTCTATCCCCTTCTGCTGGAGCAACAACACCAATGAAGTCAATTAAACACCCAAATACAAATGATGAATACTGTCCACCTAGTCAACAAAACAATTTGATCGCTTCAAAACTGTCATGTGTTACACTCCCAACCTTATCATCATCTTCATTATCTAATCTGAAAATTAATCAAACCAACAGTTCTGATTTGATACGAACAAATATTAGTGCTGCTGTTGCAAAACATCGTCGTCGTATTCTCACCACTTCTGATAATGCTATCAATACTATATCAACAGTAGATGATAAATATATAGAGTAAGTTAACTCAATAATTAGTGCTGTTATTAGAAATATGCTATTTTGTGCGAGATTCATATCAGTCTGATAACCACTGTAAAATCTGGATACTTAATTATTTTCTATGAATGACAGTTTATCTAAATGGCATAATTTTACTTGGACTTTTTGTCTTACCATGAGCTATTAAATTAGGCAACATAATGAGTTCATTTAGTGTATATGGAGTTGGGGATGTGTAGCCATCAAAAAAAAAATTCTTAACCTTCATCTCATATTCATTGACATTCAACTTGGTATTAAAACATGTAACGTTTTCATAGGATTCGAACACAGTTCATCTTACATTCTCTGATCACTCTTCTGAATAACCATTCCTTGCGTACAAAGTTTAGTAACCAATCTTAGTCGCTAATCAAAGTTTGTTATTCAGGTACACATGTAATCATTAGGCTAAGCCAAGCTTTAGTATATAATAATTTTATGTAAGATCTATTGTGTGCGTTATAAGTTCGAGCCGTTCTCTATTTACTGAGGTTTGAACAGCCTTCAGACAATAGGTGTGACCTACTGCATACTACACAAAAGTACGCATGATAGCCGAGTGTATTTCCATTCGATATCACTGCTCTCTTTTTTGTTCAATCTTAAGCTACGTATTTTTTGAAAATACATGTATAGATAATGTTTTATAACAGATTTTTCTTGTGGAAACAGCTGATCAGTTGGTCTTCGGGCCAACGATTGTTAGGTATTCAGAAAAAGACTGATTGAGCGAAAAAATATATTCCTTTTCAATTATGTCTTCGGCTCTATGCTAGTATATAGTTTTACAATTTAATCAAAATACCAATCAAGTAGTGGTGGGGGGGGGGTGAACAATAATTACATATTTTAAGTCGTGAAGATAATAAGTTTTAGAAATTAAGATACAAGTAATCAACACGGTTATTTAATTTCAAGTTGTTATTCATCGAAGACTGACATCAGTTGGAGGAACAAAGGAAACCTGGGAGCACTGGACAGCTGTTTCGTCCTAGTATGGGACTCCTCAGCAGTGCGCACCCACGACCCCACCAGCAGGGATCGAACCCGCGACCTTCAGGTTCCGCGGCCTGATGGCCGTAAGGACAAATACTCAACGATGACATTGGGTGGCGTTTGCGCTATATCGTGAGCTAACAGAAGTTGGAAATGTGGATCATTGGATTCTGACCCAGTGGCTCAATGGTAACGCGCTGGTCGCGGAACCTGAAGGTCGCGGGTTCGATCCCTGCTGGTGGGGTCGTGGGTGCGCACTGCTGCGGAGTCCCATACTAGGACGAAACAGCTGTCCAGTGCTCCCAGGTTTCCTTTGTTCCTCCAACTGATGTCAGTCTTCGATGAATAACAACTTGACATATTTCCAAATCTCCACAACCCCCTCAAAAAATTTAAACGGTTATTTAAGTTGGAAATGGAGTGATTTTTGATCAGTGTCCAGTCATAAACAATAAGTGATTACCTGATGATAATAAAGCAAATGAATATTCATAGAAACAAGAAGGGGAAGAGGTGTACGAAATAAATCTAGAAGTTACATCATGTTAACGGCCATGGTAATGAAAGTGGTCGAACAAACTTCTTTTGGATACAAAGGTTAGGTTTGTAAAGATGGATTGCAATCACCTCTGCTATGTGAAGTAAGCGAGTGCGTAATTCATGTGGTAAATTAATTGGAATCTGATGAATGATTTTGAAAGCTTTTCTAGTACTAACTTAATGTCTCGTGTCAACTAGGTGTGCAAGTATGAGCTCTTATTGTTCTGATTTGTTCTCTGCTCAACCAAGATGGGTGGTGCTCAGAAATTCGACAATGGAACTGCCTCATTGTACGCCCAAAGTAACTAGCTCCACAGGAGCAGTTGAACTGATAAATGGGCATAGAAGCGGCATAGAAGCGTCTTTATTTCTTGCACCTAGAATCGGATGGTTGTAGAAGATGGGACATAATTTGGCGGCTAGGGGTGCTTTTTTCAAGACATTTTATGCTTTGTGTGATGACCTCACTGGCAATGTCACTCTTAAATTTTAGCTTCAGAAAGATTTGCTATTTAGGAACTGTTGACGTTCTTGTCTTAACCCTCATAACATTCATATGCTTAGTTACAAACTTGTCTGGGTAGCCGTTCCTACTAAAAAGATCACGGATAGTAACGCACTCTTCCTTTATAACATTCTTGGAGCAAATAGCTGAGGCATGGTATGCTAAGCATTTCACTAGGTTCCTTTTGTATTGGAGGGGTAGGGCACTAAAGAAGTGCGTGCGTTGACCCATTGAAGTTGGCTTTCTATATACACTTCGTTTCAGGATTCCATCTAGCCTTCTTACCAACAGAACATCAAGAAATGGGATACTCTCATTTTTCTCCACTTCCATTATGATGTTGATTGTCGGATGAACACTACTGAACTTATTCAGAATAGCATTCTTATCAGTATCACTTTTGAGAAGGTATCATTCATGTAACGACAATATAATTCTAAATGTCTAGTAGTTTCTTTCAGTGAATCATTCTTCAGTTTTGCCAGAAAAAACTCTGCTAAGAGCTGGCCAGTAAATGACCCCATAGCTACACCATCAGACTGCCTGCAGAGTTCATTGTTGAAAAGGAATTGTACGTTCATTGTACACTTCAAAAGTAGTTCTTTTAATGTCGATATCACTGCTCTCTTTTTCGTTCAGTATTCAGCCACATATTTTTTGTCAATACATGTATAAATGATATTTTATGGTAGATTCCTTGGTGAAAACATCAGCTGGTTAACACTATTTGGGTGATCTTCAGGTTAATGATTGTTAGGTAATCTGTATTTTTACTACTTGTGATTCTCTGTTGTTTTATTAGTTTGAATTGTTCGACCACTATTGTCACATGAGCTCTTATGCAAATGCCTCCATATTGCCTGGATGTTAATTATGATAGTTTTGTGCAAGAAGTGACTATCGTGGTTCCGTGGCACAGTGGATAACGCCTTGGCGTTTGAAACAATGGGTACGAGATTCTAGTCTCAGTGGGAACAGCATCACTCACTGGGGTGCAGGTACATCCAGCTGACAAGTCCGGAATAGAACGAAACGCGCGTCCTGGATTCTTCTGCTAGCCACAACCAAGCAAAATAATTAGTGTTTTCTCCTGAAAGTGTAAGAAAGTTTTTCTTTACATGACCAACTCATGATATCATCTATCTGAGATAGTCTACACAGGGTTAGAAGGTGTGTTCAGTACTTATCCATTTTTTCTACCTACATTAACGCAATTAATATCAGCGTAATGAGAAGTATCTTTAAAAATTTATCGAATGTTTTCATTCCGTCGAATACTAGAATGTACGATGGTTTGTGAATTTCAATGTGTGAAATATGCCCACCATCTCCATATGGATGACAGGAGCTTCGGCGATGCAGATAGTACGAAGACATACAGGAGGAGGTTTCTTTCCACTTTATAGATAAATTTGGACTAGGAGGTCCTTGAGATAGGGTGATTCGTGTTCATGATGTGTTTGTGAATTCATTGTCATTCCATCACCTTAAATCTGGCGTCAGATAATTCCATTTTGTTTTATGTCTCCGTTTTGCTTTATTTGCATAGATCATCACAAGCTATGTCGTCATCATCAGCAGCAGCAGGAGAAACAAATTTAGCCAATTGGTCTACTTCCGATTTAAAGGCAGAACTGCGTAGTTTACGGGAATCAAAACGCCAACTACAAAAAACTTTAAAAGATTTTGAACATGAATTTATTCAAGCTACCGGTAAGGTGGAGGTCTAATTTTCTAATTTTCATTTTTGTTTATCATTTTTTCACCCTATTAATGTCACTTTGATGAAAATACCCTGCGGGAGAATTTTAAATTATGAACGGTATATTTTGTAGACATCACATTACAGGCTGTGGATGAGTTCAAGATGTAATTATTATGCATTACTGTTAGATTCTTGTGTTGATGTGATAGTTTCTTGGTTGGCACAGGTTTTTAATCATCGATATATATGAATAGTTTTATGGGGAGATGAGTATTGAAGTTTTATTCCAAATTTCTACTCAGCTCCAAGTTCCAGATTGATCTTTAAATCTATAAACGTTCCAATACAACCTAGTGGGATGGCTCTACTTTTCGAACAGGAAACATCTAGGCAACACGTTCACATTAAAACGAACACTTGTTTCAAAGCATTCTGTTAAACTGATCAGTGTTATTTTGGAACCCCCCCCCCCCCTCCAACTATCAGGTTTCAACGCATCCACATTCACCGAGTAATCTGTTGGTTGACGGTACTCACTTCTCTGGGGATAAGCATACCTGGGATGCATGCCACTGAAGTCATCACAATGTTGCAGACTGAAAACGGCTCAACTTCCCAGGAAAACATTCCCATAGAAGACCTGACATATTAACCCATAATCCTGACTGACTTTCAACAGTAGCTCCCTTCAGGCTACTGCTATCCAGCTAATACTAAAGTTAACAACACCGGGATTCTGAACCGAATGTCGCTTACTCGGGATCCTGATGAGCAACAAGACTGTCCGTGTTTTGTGTAGACCCACACCACTGACCTTCTGTACATAGATTTCATCGACCGCGGTTTTCGCTAGGTCAACTTGGCGATGTATTGGTTGATATGCAGCATAGTCAGAAAAGAATTACTACTCTGGTCATGGTAAGGCGCCTAATTAGTACATATAATGTTTTTTGAACACAAAGATAGGCCTTAAAGTTAAGAATTATCAATGCTTTGTCCGTGTATGTTCGAAGTCCTCTGGGATTGTAGGAGGGTACCCTGTAAATTACACTGGAGGAACCACTAGGAGATACCTGCCTCTGGGGATGACATTGTTTTCTAGAATAGAAATGTTGATATTCCTTTTTTCTCTTCCGGATCATCGAGCTGGAGTAACTGTCCCCAAGGGTGCTGTGCACTACAACGCGTTACTGCTCATTATACACCGCTCATATCTGCCATATCGAGCTGTTATTGTTGTGAATGTTAACCACCTCATGCTGGCTTTCGATATGATTTTTTGGTAATGTTATACCTTACCAACAGAAAGAGGAAAATTCCCATTCTAACCAACATTTTCTAAGAAAAATCTGTGCCATGCATAAGTTATGGCATACAACAACTTTGCTTTACATTTATCTTTCTCTCTCTTCATTTTGTTTTAAAATACATCAAGGTCAAAAAGTGGAGCGCGCAGATCGACTGTGTATGCGTTCAGAATACTGTCAATACAAGGCATTAAAGACACGGCTCCTTCAATTAGAAGCTGAATTGAAAGGTCGTTGTGCCTAAAGTTTATGTACCTATCTATGCGTTTTTTTTTAAACTTTTTTTTTTCACAAACAAAAGAAATGTGATGGTTGAACTTGGTTTAGACGACTTCAGTGGAAGGCAGAACATACGAGTTTATCTTGATTAATTTCGATAAATCCTTTGTCCGTATAAGGATATGCTTAAACATGTTTATTATAATAAGGTGTATATTAATTTATTCATATGACTATAATGTTATCTTTCACCATGTAAATAAAGTATTTTCAGAGACCCATCGAGATCTGCATGAATGTTTGTGTGTGTGTGTGTGTATGTACATATTGACTTATTGAATTTTACCACCCAAGATTTTTCAACATAAAATTGTACTCATCACGACTTGTATTATGGCCCTATTACTTCTCTTTTCTGTTTTCTATGATTTTACAGACCTACTCTTTTATAATCTAAATTTTTTGTTGTTGTCTATTTAAAAGCTCGTCATCACAAACAATATATGACAAACTCGAAGTGATTAGTCAATTTTCTTCTCCACTAGGTGTTATAATATCCCACTTGCCTAATTAGCAAATTATGCTAAACAACTTTTAGTCATGAAATTGACTTGACATTCTTTTAGAATTCTTTACTTACTACCAATAAACTTTTATAGTAGTATGTACTTGCAATGTGATTTATTTTATACATTCAGTTGATGATATAACAGTGCCTGAAATAATTAAGAATTTACCTTCACCTAGTATGTCTGTGTCAAAACAGTCAGCCTTATTTAGTCTATTCAATGATTATCTCTTCCAGGATGTAATAATCTTTAACTTTCTTCTCTTTAGTTGACAACAGTGTAAAGTGTCTGTCTGGAACTTGCCTTTTTCATTTGATCATAGCAAATCATCAGTGTATTTGTATCCACAGCTATCTTCATTTTCCAGTTATCCTTTTTATTTTTTGAAAAAAATAAACAATCGAATTTGGATTGTCCGTGTGTGAGAATACTGCATGGGAGTACTTAATTGCATATATGTAATAAGTATTGCATATTTTTATGAATTACTTATGTATTATTATTATTATCTGTCCCTTGGGTACCCAGTGCAACATGGGGCTTCAGTAGCACGTCGCCATTTCACTCTGTTCTCCACAGTCTTTTGAACCTGGCTCAACGACTCCCCATAAGCTTTCATTTCTTCCTCATACCATCTCCCCCATGTCACCCTCACCTGCGACACCCAACTCGTCGTTTACCATTCGGATTCCATTCGACGGCCTGGCCTGACGTGTGATGTCCCCAAATCGTCTTCTCAGTATGTACCCAATCTAAACCATCTCTACCTTTTTTTAGATTTGCCAAGTTGCGTCATCCGTCGCACCGACTGGCAAGATATCCGACTATCTATCAAATGTTCAGAATACTGTGCAACCCGTGTTGTCATGTTGTACGGTTTTCAGGTAAGACTTGAGAGTAAAATACGTGAAGGGGTTGCAGAATTTCGATAATAGGTGTCCTTGCAGCATTGCTCGCGTTTCGTGGAACCACTGTGTGAACGATGTTGAAGTCAGGTAAAATGCACTAGAAAAGTCGATTAATGAGGTTGTGAAACATAATCGAAGAAGATAGCTCGGATATACGCGTCAAGAGTCACCGCCTTCCTTGATATGACATGCCAGTGGAAGTTGCATTGTGTTTGAAGAGGGTTTAAGGTATCCAGACCGAGATCGGGTACCAGTCCATGAGATCTAACTGTTAGTCTGAGTTATGTGAGGAGATACAGACCATCAAGTTGCATTCCCTTATGATTATTATTTGCCCCTTAGGTTCCTAGTGAAACATGGGGCTTCAATAGCACGTCGCTATTTCACTCTGTTCTCCACAGTCTTTTGAACCTGGCTCAACGACTCCCCATAAGCTTTCAATTCTTCCTCATACCATCTCCCCCATGTCACCCTCACCTGCGACACCCAACTCGTCGTTTACCATTCGGCTTCCACTCGACGACCTGTCCTGGCCTGGCCTTGCCTGACGTGTGATGTCCCGAAATCGACTTCTCAGTGTGTGTCCAATACAATCCATCTCCACTTTCCTTTGGATATTTGTTGTGCGATGGCTTCTTGGTTGGTTCGTTGTCAGCCAGCCAGAGTTCCTTGTTGCTTGTTCTTATTATTCTGGTCATCTGATCTTCAGTATCGAGCGATCAATACTTATGAGTGGAGCTGTGGATCATTGGTTTGAGCGGCAAACGTTCAGCCAGTGAGCCACGGGTTCGAATCCTACGACCATTTAGTGTCATTGTTGTTCACCCAATACGTGTGACTCATTGCCTAATGTTCAAGATTGTTGAGCGCATTTAGATTTGATTCAACACTGACGAACTTAGTCGGTTCTTGATGTTGATGCACTGACCATGGAAGATCTTGTGAAGATATCTTTCTCTACTCCTCATCTAATTGATACTATACATCACAGTTATTCATAAAATCTTTTCTTTATTCTTTTTGGCCTCAGTCTCCAATCTCATTTGATTCGTTATTCAGGTTGGTTGTTTCTGGTGGATTAGAAATCTTTATAACACTATTGTCAGCCGAGAACTATTTCCTGTATCCTAGCTTATAACTTTTTTTTATTTAAGATAATACAAAATTTACAAATCTAAGGCAAAACATGTCATTGTCGAAGCATTGATTTCGAAATTCTTGTTTCTAGTGTTTCTTTCACGATTCATAAAAGTCTTGATCTACAGGTGTTATTACACGATAATGGGAGACTGAGGAAAACTGAAGTCATTTGAAAGAATATTTCATGGAGTCTGGAGGAGAATGTTCATTTCTACGTGTGCAAGAAATATCTCCTCAGATTACGATTGATTGTTCATTGAGATACCGAAACTTGAATTTATTCTGTCAATCCACCCCTATTAAGTTAAACAGTGTACTGTTCACAAAAACCTGATTCTTAAATCGAATGATTATTCTGAGAGACCACGTTTTGTATTAGATAATATAAGATGAAGCTAAAATATAAATGATTCGCAGTAATATAATGAAACAACAAAACATTATTTATTTCTGCAAAATAACAAATTGACACGAATTTGGATGTGTTGAACTAGTTCAACTACCTTGATGTGATAGTCGGGGTTGTTTGTCACGATGATCCATCCAGCTACATTGCCTGAAACAGTTGTTCCTTAAGATTCTACTATGCCAGAAAGGTCTTTTGGATAGTGGTAGGACGAAAAACAGTTACCGTTGTAATGTAAATTGCTGCACTATGATTGGTGTCCGAGAGCGAAGTCGTACTACTGGTTGACAGCAGTAAGGCATTTCTCTTGGATGATGAGCAGTGCCAAGCGAATGCTGTTTTCTTTACGGGAAAGGGGAGGGGTTAAAAATTGTCGGCCCCAACAACAACACACTTCACCCTGCTCCGTGGTCTTCCACTGCCGGCGTTATATGCATTCTCTGTCCGGCATTGGAACAGTTAAATCTCACACCGAAAATTGGCATATGGCTGTGTTACAGGCCTCAAGCAGATGTCCTATGGGATCTGCAGTCACAAATATTTCTTTTTTCAAGTACCCTAAGAGGGTAGCAGGTAAGTATCAACCATCCACATATACGCTTCCAGTAGCACACAAAACTCAATGAAACGTAACCTCTCCTCCTTTACCTCCACCTGCTGATACCAATATTAAGCCTCTTAAACTTTCTCACCATGTGAACATTGCGAACGATCAAAGCCATCGAAAACTCAATCCTCATCTCCTAAGACCCCTCCATCGATTTCTTATGGAGGCTTTTAACGTCCGAACTCCATGACAAACTGGATATCGGAGACCGCTCACCAGAATCCTGAGATCTCTAGCCATGGATGTATGGTGTGTCTCTGAGACACATATAGAGGACTTAAGCGTGGTTATTAAGTTCACATCATCTGACCATTGCAGTGATTCTTCAAAATCCATTTGACAAGTGTCCAGAGATTCATCGGCTAGCTCTCGTGGACTCATTGATGTAGGGATAGGGTTCAGTTGTAGAGCAGAAAGTGCACTTCTCAGCTGGGTACCAATCAACAGCCGTCTGTGTACTGTTTAACTGAATGAATCTTTAAAACTAGGAAAAGTAAGGAAACTTGCTGCTGCCTGTCCGTAACCTCCGCCCACGCACCCACTAACTGGGGTTCGGATGATGCAAAGAGTGAATTCTATGAGAAGCTGTCAACTTTGCTAGAGAAAACAAAACGTTCATATTTAGTCACAGTGGAAGATGACTTTAACTTCCAAGTAGGGAGACTGAGTCATCTGGAGAAGCATCTTCGGGGTATCTACGGAATCCCATGCCGACAACGGTGATCGTCTGTTGCAATTTTGCTCCAACAATCATTTGTTTCTGATCAGCACTAACTTTAGACATAAGGAGAGACACCGTTTTACATTGCGTCCGCTGACTTCGAATTAACGATGGACATAGATAGATCACATTGGTGGAGGATTGCTACTCTTTCTGGAGTACCAATTTGGTATCTGGTTACCCGTTTGTATGGACTTGTGTATGTATGTCCCTTACCGGTCGCAGGAAACAAGGGAAAGTAAAGCCTGTCTATGGTCGTCTGGAAGATGAAAACGTCAAGTCTGCATTCAGGGAAGAGGTAGCCAAGGATTTATCTGAACAAGACAGTAATACTCACCCCGAGGAAACCTGGCGTAATATTAAGTCTGCTGTAGCAACAGTGGTAAAGACAGTTAGTTTGTAACCTACACATGCAGGTTAGCAAACATCATTGGATTTCCGCGACATCATCTAAACTGAATGGTATGAGAAGACTGATTCCATCTAGCTCTAATCACAGCGAAGAGCGACAGCGACTTAAGCGTAACATGACGAAGAGTATTCTCAAGGATTGTGAGTGGTGATATGGGATGAAAAAGAGAAGAGAATAAGGCATCAGCAACTATTTAGGATACCACCAAGAGGAAGAGGATAGTTTGTTAAACCATCCTCGAAGAGGCTGATAACCTTTCAGG